ATTTTGGGGCACTAAATTAGTTAATAGCACATATTTTCTGGAATTATTAATAATCATAAATAACAGTGTATTGATGGTCTTCAGACAACATATCATGGGATAATGCAATGCCTGGAAGAGCAGGTATAATTTTTCTTCCTCACACCCCCACACTCAGGAAAGGATATTGAAAAACAATGCGGAATCTTTTCAGTCTGTATTGATCTATTAAAAATTAAAAGAAATTTAAACTCTGTAACTTTATTACTGATTAACAAAATGACATATGATGTTCTCACTTGTAATTGAGAGATTCTTGTGTCTGGCAACATCGTGAATGGTCTTTCCTATTACAGATAAACATCAGAGCACTAGAATTAAAATTCCCTTATCCCATCAATTGACTTAACTAATATAAAAGTACTAGCTGTCATAAGCACTAAATATTTAAATAAACATATCAATGAACACTTTGTGTGATTGAAGTTACATGTGAAATATTTTCCTAACAGTTATTCACTTGAGTAGAGTTGTGACTAGGTATGAATAAGCTTACTCGAGGAAATTTGTTTTGTATAACGAATTTCCCCGAAATAGATACAGTTATCTGAAATTATTCCATTAATTGTAAATCTTAAATACTATTTGAATACTATAAGCACTTTCTTTTGATGGTGATGATTGTGGTAGCAGGTTTTACAATGAAAAGCATTTTCAAAGGGTTGACCCAGCATCTTTTCTTCTCTTTCTCTTATTTCTCACTTTACTCATCCCTATGAACAGAAATATAGATCACTAATCCAAAATGGCTTTATCAGTAATTTCTTCTTTTAACCCTTCATAGCCACTGACAGTTTTAGCAACATGTAATTTTTTTTTTCCCCTAGCAGCCTTATAGTGAAAGGTTTGGACAACCACAGTAAGACTAGGGAGACGTGTTTCTATGAACTTGTAGGCCTCCCACTCTTCTTACTTTGCCTGCCCATCTTTCTGTGACTTAAAAGTATGTATGTTCAATAGGGTGGCTTTTAGCATGTAAGATCTGCTTTGAACTAGTACAGATAGGAGCAGAACCTTAGTAATGACAAATAAAATATAACATCATAATATTTCTCATAGTGTTGACATATTTTTGACAAGCCTTCACAGTATTTCATATGCTATTGGAAAGTAATAAAATACAGTAATTATGGGACCATTCATCACAGATATGTAACATGAAGCTTCAAAGTTTCATCCCTAAAAATATTTGGGCACACAAGCATAAAAGTCTGTTATCTTCACTTGTGATGGGGAAAGAATTAAAGATGTGCGATTAGAGTATTACTTACTCACCAACTCATGACCAGAAAGATTAATGATGAGACTTTCCACACCTTATAATGAATTATATGTAGTCATCATGCCATTCAATATTAAAAATATGAAAGATTGGTGAGCAAAGGGATGTATACATGATCTTAACATTTCATTCACAGATTACTTATTAATTTCCAAGGGAGAAATATCCAGACTAGGCAAATCTAAATAGAAAGCAAATTAGTTGTTTCCAGGAGCTAGGGGGAGAGGTAATGAAGAGTGATTGGTAATGAGTAAAGGGTTTCATTTAAGGGTGTTGAAAATATTCCTTTTTGTATTTTTTCTGTTTTATTCTGTGATCTTTGTAGAATAGTTAAGATACTGTAAAATTAGATGGTGGTTATCGTTGCACAACTCTGTGAATATATTAAAAAACAATGAATTGTATGCTTCAAAAGGATGGATTTTATAGTATGTAAATTATATTTTTAAAATGCTCCCTGTGAAAAGAAATGAAGATATCTGGTGGACACCACCATAACCAAATGACCAGATTCAGTGTCACTAATAATGGGCTTGTACTACCACAAATAGTACAAGCCAGTTTCCATCACTTTCATCAACATATCCATCCTATCCTCAACCCTGCTGGTACCTGGAATGTTCATCCTGATTTTTGCCCAGTAGAACCATTTAAATCACTCATGCCTGAAGGCTGCCATTTAAATCCGAGAATGGAATTGAAACCCATAATGCCAGAGTGCTTTTTGTCTCACTGTTAGTGTAATACTGAGTATTTTTAGAGTAAATCCTCTGCCAGTAACAGTTCCTGTCTGTATGCTTTGGTATAGGAAATTAATAAATATTATCATTGTTTCCTGATGAGGTAGCATAAATTGCTCTATTTTCCCAGAACTATTTTAATTAAAATGTTGAGTATTAGTATTACCAACTACAAGTGCTTTTTCTGTTCTAATGTATTTTTAATAATAGTATCAGTGAGAGAAATATCCATATTCCCTTGGTGTATCACTTGTATAATTTCTGTATGATATGTTTCATGAAAGACGGTGGTCGAGTCAATTTTATATTTTTTGGTTATTCTTTATCCTAAGAAACATGTGAAATCAAATGTTAGTATCTTCAGCAAACTAGTTTTATAAGAAAAAAAACATAAATATGTTTATTTCCACTTCATTCTTGGAATCAAATTTATTTTCAGCCTTATTTTCCTTGATTCTTCACTATTGTATTAATATTTCAAGTGATAATTCTTTTTTGTTTGTTCATTTGGTGATGGTCTTGGGTAGTGTTTTCTACAAGCTGACCTTTAAATGAGGACTTATGGGCATGTGATTTATTAAGGAAATGTTTTCAGGAAAAAACAAGAGCATAGGGGAAGCAGAATTGGAAATTTATTACCCCATATAAATGTGACACTTAGGTCAAAGTCTCCACCTCAGCCTAATTCAATGGGTTATCCAGAACTGAAATCACACCACGGTTTTTGTTCTGGTTGAGGCAAGGGAGCTGGGATTTGAAACTCTTAACACCAGGCATTGGCTATCTGCCTGTTCCAGGAGACATAAACTCTCAGCCCCTTCTGGTTTTGAGCAGCTCCAGTAGTCCAAGGGTAGTTCTCTGAAGAGGGCTGCAGACACCCTATCAGGCCCACCCAGAGGATGGGAGCACAGAACAAGTAAATGACATCCCAGGGGATAAGGGCATAAGGGCAGAGCATTCATAACATCCTTTTTTTTTTTTTTTTTCTGTAATCACTGCTCAAAAATAACATTTTTGTTACTATGATGGTAATGATGATGGTGTCTGTGGATTAAACTATGTTATTTAATCTCAAAAAAATTGTTAAATATAGTTGATCAGTTAATGAAGTTTTGATCGATTGTTATGTTTAGCATAAATATACAATATGTAGAAGTACTGGTTTATACTATCAAGGAAACTTAAATCTCATTTTAAGAAGGACATCATGGCCGGGCGTGGTGGCTCACGCCTGTAATCCTAGCACTCTGGGAGGCTGAGGCGGGTGGATTGCTCGAGGTCAGGAGTTCAAAACCAGCCTGAGCAAGATCGAGACCCCGTCTCTACTATAAATAGAAAGAAATTAATTGGCCAATGAATACATATAGAAAAAAATAGCCGGGCATGGTGGCACATGCCTGTAGTCCCAGCTACTCGGGAGGCTGAGGCAGGAGGATCGCTTGAGCCCAGGAGTTTGAGGTTGCTGTGAGCTAGGTTGACGCCACGGCACTCACTCTAGCCTGGGCAACAAAGCGAGACTCTGTCTCAAAAAAAAAAAAAAAAAAGAAGGACATCATATGCAAAAAAAAAAAAACCCCACAATTACATATAGATATGCAATTTAGTCCTCAACAAGACAATCTGATACATGTAGATCCATAGAACAGAATGATTAGGGTTTGTTAAACACAAGACAATGTTGACTATTCTATATGTATTTCACATAAAACTTTAATACATATCAATTGGTAAAGAGAAAAGATGCTGCATTCCTTACTGAAAAATATCTTATGCAGAACTGAGGTTGAGATCATTCGGTTACATGTAACATATGCTTTCCTTTAATGTACCTGATTATTCATTATATTTCAGCTATGAACTTTTTCTTAGCTTCATTCTATTCTATATTTTACTTGTAGTAATTTGGATTATAATATAGGATTTTGTCATTTGACCTTGGCCTGTGACCATAACCTACATGAAAAAGGTTACTATGATAGATAACAGATGATTCCAGAGTAAAATCTTCTTGATATGCTGTAATGCAGAGATGAAACTAATGAGGCAATATTACAATGACATAAAATATAGCACTTCTATTTAAAAAGATCAGTTGCACAACTATTAACACATAAGGTAGACAGCCCCAATATAGTTTAAGATTGTTTTGTGGTTGGTAAAAATAATAAGACAATTTCACAGTACTTTCATGAAATAGAGTATGCAGATTATAGAATATATAGTTTCTGTACTGGTTGAATAAGTTTTGCAGTATTGCTTTCAGTTCTCAGACACATTTAAAGAAAGACAAGCAAAAATCAAAAGATCATCTGAAGAAACGACACTGGTGTGTAACAGATTTGGAGACCTTGAAGTAGAAAGAACCCTTCAGTGTTGTAAATACGTGAAATCTGAAGAAGAGAAACCTTGAAGAAAATATAATGACTGTATATACATATTTGTGGGCCTATAATGGATTGTAGATTTTATTCTGTGTTGGAACAGAACTTCTGAGAATACAGCTCTCCATATATGAAATGGGCTGTGTCTCTTGAGCTATGAGTGTCACCCTGGTAGTATCTCCCTAGTAGTGTTATCCAAGGCTAGATATCATTTGTCAGGGATTCTATGGAAGAATGTGAGTAAATTAACCTTGAGACCCCTTCTACTGTAAAATTTCCTAAATCTTTGTTTTTGAACCTGCACAGTTACAAGATGTATCCTAGAGCACACTTGATAATGAAATTTACAATCTTGCTTAAAATCTTTAAAAGTAAATATTTTAAAACCATTAAGATAGATAGAATAAGCAGCTAACAAAACAAAGTAAGTGGAACAACAAAATGATAAATAATTCATGTCTTCATCATTAAAGACATCTGGGATACTTCAAAAATTTTCATTGCATTTACTGCATGTGAAAATTGTATTTTATTAAAATGCAATGTTTTCACTTTTAGGTTTTCACTTCCAGTTACTGCAACAGCAGAAAACTGCATTCTTACTATTTACCCATATATAGCAATTCATCTGGATAGACACAGAATTTATTTAAAGAATGGTAAGTTACATATGGCTGCTTTCTTTCTAACTCACTGTATAGGTTCTTATTATCCAAGGCAGACATCCAGAAATACAATGAATTTTAAATTAACAGGTGTTTATTAAACACCTGCCTGACAAAGGCTGCACTTATCATTACAAGTAGAATATAACAGTGTCTCTTAATTCCAGAAGTTGACAATCTAGTGAAAGACACATAAATAAATTAATACAAAGAAAACTTAATTAAGAGCTCTATTTATGAGTCAATTGAAGTGTTGGGCATTTAGGGGTGTTGCAGAGATTAATGCTGATCTTGGGAATCTGTAATGACTTTATAGACGAGATGACATTTGTGTAGAGTTTGGCAAATGATGAACTTGATCAGGATGATTTGGGCAAAGGGCAATATGGCAAAAGCATAGGAGTGTGATGAGAGACAGAAGGAAGAAAATGTAGGTACAGGGCCTTAGTGCTAAGCCTTTTATTCCGTAGTAGTGAGAATCTTCTGTGGTTTTTGAGTGTCAGTGATTTAGAAAAAGAGCAGGTGTTGAGATGTGAGATGAATTAAAATGGGACAGAAAGTGGCCATTTGACCAGCTGCAGCTGGGATTTGCTGCAGGGGAAATTGTGAGATAAACTAAGAACAATCATCTTCTATGAAGTCTATAGTTGTATAGCATTCTGGGGATATGCACGCTTATTGGGTAAAGTTTTTCTGGCACATTCTGAATGATTTTGTACTGACTGAACGATTGTATAAAATTAGTATATTCTGCTTATTTCTATTTGTTAATGCCTTTAAAGTAATCCTCACAACAAAATCATGAGCTCAGAGGCGTTGATTTCATTTTATAGATAAACGTGTTTCAGCTGTAGTCCCAGCTGAACATAACATACTTACAGTTTAACTTGTGAGGACTGGTAGTGCCAAGCTTTCAAATCAGACTTTTCTGACTGACCAGACTGTGCTTTTCTGGCATAATTAGACTGTGAATATATATAAATTACAAATATATTTTGATGCTTGGCCTTAGGTCATGGCTACCTACTTTTCTCGATCAGCACTGCCAATGGTTGGATTCGAATTCACACTGTGACAAACTCTTATGTATATACAACAACTCTAACTGGAATACAGATTGAAATATGTGCAAAATGGTATCAGCTTATAACATATTACAGAATTAACTAGGAGGAAATTACTTTTTTTGCTGATTCTTTTTCTTATATCTTATTTTGAATATCATATATAATCCAATTTTTTGGTGTAGAAACATTTAAAATGTTTTATATATTCTTTTTTTTTAAAAAATTTTTATTTTTTTCATGATTAGGGTATCCTTAGAATATATATTCTTATTTATGCTAAAGTTGAGCATTGCTCATTATACAATAACTTTAGTTTAACATAACGATTGCCTTATCAAATAAATTTTATTTAATTTATATTATTAGAAAACCATATAATTTTTTTTCTTATTTGACATCTTATTTGATATGTAATGGATGTTTAGAATTTTTTCTTTTACTTTCTCATATATGCATATATATAGATAGATAGATAGATAGATAGAAATATAGATAGATTAGATAGATTCAGGTTAAATAATTTGATAGTGAAATCCATGAATGCTTGTCTGACTTACTATGACCCAATGTGTCATTTGTAGATAAGGATGGAAGTCCTAGGAAGACTAAAGACAGTGATTTGCTTTCTCGCCAGAATGCTAGATCACGTTCTCCTGCTTCAATTAAAAAAGCATCCATCACTACTAAATTTAAAGATGCTGTACCTGAAAGGGAAAACTTATTTATTGGTATGTGGCAAATACATAATGTACCCCCCCAACCCAGTCCATGATATCATCTGCTTAATATCATTTAATTTAAAAGTTAGGCTTTTAAAGATAAAAATACATTGATGAAGAAAACCATGAATTTGTCATTAGTCTTAAGTGGGTCATGTGTTTTGGGAGTTCTCTTCAATGATCAATACTAGAGGTTCTCTAATGTTCATGGTTCATGGCACATTTAGTGTCTTAGTACTTTTCCCTAGGCCAAAACATGTCCCACATAGTTCCATTTATTAAGTGCATTTGGTACAAAAATCTAAGCTTATGTGCTCTCCAACAGATGTTGCAGTAATATTTAACTAAAATGTTAAATATCCTACAGAGCCCCCGTAAATTTGCCGTGACATCTTAAGCACTCTCTGCATAGTTTACGAACTGCAGAACTAAGGGATTTTTCCCCTCATTATCTAACTCTAGCCAAAGTTTCCTGTCTTAGAAAGAGGCGAGAACAGAAAAATAAGTGAGTTTTATGCTATTATTTTCAATTAACTGTTTAAATATTTCTTTTCTTGGATATTGGTAATATTAAATTTGTTCCTTTTTGTTGAATGAATCAAACCAAATTAGTGTGTGGGTGCAGATATGAGCAGATATCTTTAAAGAAAAAGATAAAACCATTTTATATTTTCAAAAATTTCCTTAACTCAGAAATGTTTTATTGATGTGCTTGATTTAAATAGAAAGTCATTTTCAATCTAAAGCCAATATTTTGTTTCTATAATTTTTTCAACTGAGGTTTAATTTTGTCTAATAAGTTATGCTGAAAAATTGTCAATACATTATACTAATGTAATTCGAAATGAAAGTTTCTGCTTCTGGGAAAGTTTTCTCATACCATTATGGCAAGAAAAAAAATGTAACTGCTTTCCTTGTTGCAATTTATCTATTTTTAAACATTTCTGTTGGGTATTTGAAAACAAATGTATTTTTATTGTTTATTTTAAGATACAGTAAATTGACTCTGTTTGAGAGCATAGAATAATTTGTAGAATGGGTTCTATTTGTCTACATACAAACGACAATTACTGACAGACTATTTCACTTTATTGGTCAAGTAACTGTTTTTACAAACAAATGTGAATTTTAGGAATGGAAATAATACCTGAAAATTTGGGCTTGAATGAAAGTAAAGCATCAAAGAAAAATTATAAATCTGTGGAAAAGGAGGAGATCAATGAACAATTCTTTACTCTTGGAGAAGGAACAAAGGCATATAATTTCTTTCAGAAGGTTGTGCATGCAGCTCAGACCTGGTTCGGTCTCTTTGGCTGGCCTGAAGGACCACATTCCTTTTCTATTCCAGAGACTATAAGAAGGTAACAGTTACATGCTTTGCTTTGTATAACACCATAAAATATAATCTATTTGTTGGGATCATTTTAAGTGAAAGGATATTAAATAATCTATTATAGACTGCTAAATTATAAGGGATCCATTAAGAAGAGTAAAAATGCAAATATAAATTCTTCAGTATACATGTACTTTTTAATTTCTTCTAGATGTGATGATTTTAGGCAAGCACTGAAAAACTCTGGACCTCAGTTTTCTCATATGTGAAATGAGAAAGGGCAAAGTATGGTTAGGAAAGCCATTTTAAATTTGAAAATTTTGGAAACTACACATTTCTGTGTAAATAAACTATCAGACAAAGATCTAGAGTATAGTCAGGTAGACAGATAACTATCTGTGTTAGTGAACAGGGAGAGTTTCTTTGCAGCATCTCCTCTTTGACAATGCATTTACCTCTTTCCTTTCATGTGCTGTTTTATTACTTAGCATGTCTAAAATACTTAAATTTCTTTGGTTATATCGAGTCACTTAATTCTGTTGTTAATTTAAATAGGAGTTTAGGCCCTTCACTTGTTATAATGTTGTGGTGCAGTGGATTCTCAGACCTTTATTCTACTTCCTTTCTCAGCACTGGGGTAACTTGCTGCCACCACAGGGGAATCCAGGACTGATCTCTATAGCTATACAGGCTATATTTAGAATTTCTGCTCTATATTCAAGAGTGTGCTAGATTAAGCTAAGTCTATAGTTTTCTTGTATGTTAACTTTTTCAGTTTTTTTAAAATTAATTGGACCATTTTACCTTTAGAGAATGCATTGGCTAATATATCATCTTAGTGATGTGGGAAAATTAATACAGCAGATACCCTGAAAATTTGTAGTTTTCATCATAAAATCATCTGGCTGCAGGGAATTTTTTAGAGAAGTTAGTCTCTAAACATTTTGATTAAATTTTATTGATTTGTTTTAATTTGGGGAGAAATTAATTTTTAATTTTTTAAATTTCAGAATATTATGGGGGTACACACATTTTAGTTACACGTAATGCCTTTGCCTCACCCAAGCCAGAGCTACAAGCATGCCCTTCCTCCATACATTACGCTCCATCTCTATTAGTTGTGAGTTTACCTCCCCCATCCCTGCCACCTGACTGATACCCAGTGTATATTACTACCATGTGAGCACCTTAGTGTTGTTCAGTTAGTACCAATTTGATGGTGAGTACATATGGTGCTTGTTTTTCCATTCTTGTGATACCTCACTGTGAAGGATGGGCTTAAGCTCTATCCAGGATAATATAAGAGGTGCTAGATCACCATCATTTTTTATAATTGAGTAGTACTCCATAGTATATATGTACCACATTTTATTAATCCACTCATGTATTGATGGGCACTTGGGTTGTTTCTACATGTTTGCAATTGTGAATTGTGCTGCTATAAACATTCGAGTGCAGATGTCTTTATTATAGAATGTCTTTTGTTCCTTTGGCTAGATGCCTAATAGTGCTTGTTATTGCTGGATCAAATAGTATTTCTTTTTTTAGTTCTTTGAGGTACCTCCAAATTCTTTTCCACAGAGATTGTACTAATTTGCAGTCCACCAGCAGTGTGAGAGTGTTCCTATCTCCCCACATCCACACCAGCATTTGTTGTTATGGGGGAAATTATTGATTGAGCATTTGACATTTACTATTCAACAATTGTGACTAATAGTCTTTCTGTTTTTTAGTTCCTTGATGCTGTCATAGTCCCTTCCTCATTTACAATTGTAATTATTTTTTCTTGATTATAGGTGTCAGGAGTTTACTTCTATGTCTCATATAATGAATAAATTCTTAAATTAATTTTTCATTTCTGTTTTTTCTAAATCATGTAATGCTGATTTTTTCTTTATAATTTATTTTTCTTTTTTTTTTTTTTTTTTGAGACAGAGTCTTGCTTTGTTGCCCAGGCTAGAGTGAGTGCCATGGCGTCAGCCTAGCTCATAGCAACCTCAAACTCCTGGCTCAAGCAATCCTCCTGCCTCAGCCTCCCGAGTAGCTGGGACTACAGGCATTCGCCACCATGCCCGGCTAATTTTTTGTATATATATTAGTTGGCCAATTAATTTCTTTCTATAGTAGAGACGGGGTCTCGCTCTTGCTCAGGCTGGTTTCGAACTCCTGACCTCGAGCAATCCGCCCGCCTCGGCCTCCCAGAGTGCTAGGATTACAGGCGTGAGCCACCGCGCCCGGCAATTTATTTTTCTTTAAACTTGAATAGTATGCTTATTTATTTATAAGTCAATAAATTCATCCCTTTATTCTACTTTGGCTGTATCCCAGAATTTTTGTTAGTAAGCAAAAATTTCTCAATTTTATTGTTTTTATAGAGCTTGGGATATTAGTTTTCATTTTCTATATGCTTTTTACTGTAATAGTGATTGCTCGTTTGTGGTATAGTGTTATTGCATATGTGTATTATTATTTACTTGAAAATTCACATTAATTTTTGAGCATTTACTTATGTTATTTTGTTATTCTTTGTTGGCATAAATAATGCCGACATGCTTATAAATACTTACAAATGGTAGCAGATATTTCTGAATACTACATAGGAAGTTTCTCATAGGTAGGAGCACTGGACCAAAAAGTCTCTTATAATACATTCTTGGATGCCTGGGGAAAGGCAGTTCTGGAGTAGTATGAGAGCTTTTCTAACCCTGGGAAGGAAGCTGCCCACAACCAAAAAACTTTGAATAAAGATTAACTTTGCCCAGGTAACAATGCTATTCAGAGCCACTTCTTGGTTTGGAATTTGAGGATCATGGACTCTCAGGCTAAGAAGAGACCTCCAAGGTCATGTATTGTTACTGATATTTGAATCCCCTCATTAGTGTCTCCTGTATTACTCCATCATCTAGAATTATTTAGTATTTCTCATGAGAAGCCTGATGCCATATTTTGTGAATAATGTATTTATTCTCTCAGAATTTTTTTATGGTTCCCATATCTCTGCTGTTCTCCTATTATGCAATTTGATGAAGTAAAATGTGAACATGGGGTTCTTTTTCATCATTCAATCTACTTGGTATTCAATAGGCCCTTTTATTTTGAAAACTAGTCTTTTAACTATTCTTCCCTGCCTCCTTTTCTGCTATTTTTTCCATTCTGTTTTCTCTATTTTTTCCATTTTTCCCCACCCTCTCTCTCTTTCTTTCTCTCTCTCTCTCTAAAGACAGAATCTTGCTATGTTGTCCAGGCTGGTCTTGAATTCCTGGGCTCAAATGATCCTCCCACCCTACCTCAGCCTCCTGATTCACCGGGATTACAGGCGTGTTCCACCACACCCAGCTCCATTCTCTCTTTCTGATTCTCCTATTAGAAAGATGTTGGACCTGCTTGACTAATCCTTTGTATTCCTTATGATTATGATTTATATTTTTTATCTTTTTCTGTCTCTTACTTTCTTATACTTGTAGCTGTCCTTTACTTCCTCTTCTAGTCTTCTATAAAATTTTTAAATTGGTATTTCCAGCTTTATTTTCCAAGAACTTTGTGTTGATCTTTAATTATTTCCTTCCTCCTTTCCTTGTTCCTTCCTTACTCTTTCTCTCTTTGTCCCTCACTTCCTTCCTCCCTTTTCTTCTTCATTCTTTATGTATTTTTCTTTTGTAATAGCATCCTATTTTGTGTTATGGATGCATGCTTTCTCAAATATCTCTTTTATAGTATGGGCTTATTTCTAAATTCTATTTTTCCTTAAATCGTTTCATCTCACCTCAATCTTTATTCTTTTATATTTTTTATTGGGATATTTTCTTTCAACCTGATGGCTTTCTTTAGATATTTCTGATTTTTCATTCTCATTTATTCATATATAATGAATGAAGTACTTCTTGTAGAATAAGCAAGAGGGATATATAATTCTAATGTTTACAGGGTAAATCTAGGATTTTGGACCAAACAAAGCTTAAAGTCCTGGGCAAACCATGAATTCTAGTGTCATACATGTTAACAAGAAGTTAAATTGCCTAGCCTTATATACAATAGCCCCCAGATGGAAAGTCATTCACTATGGAATTTATTACCTGGAAAACTGGTATCCATTGTAGGTTATGATGTGGGGTGGGCATCAAATAGCTTTGGTGCTTTTTCTCGACATTATGGAAACATTTTTTGACACATTGGTTTATCACCTTTCTTGAACCTGAAGATAGGGATTGTCATAAACATAGCTTTGTTGGTGTGTATCTCAGGTAATTTCACTCCTTACAAACACAACTTTGTGGCAGCAAGGGCAATAGGGCCCAGTTCACTTGTTGATTTGTGAGATATTCAGGTAGAGTAGAAGCCAAAGACATTATTTGAGATTTCCCATTTATTGATTAATTTTTAGTCTGTTTTCTTTTTTTAAGAATATGAAAACTTTATTAAGTCATATTTTCCCTTTTATAATGATTTTCCTTCCTAAAAGTATTTTAGGATCCAACTAATTAATTAGGTGACTTATGAGGGCTTTAAATTTTTTGGACAAATTATAAGCACATATAATTATGAGGTACACAGTTATACTATGGTCTATATATGTATAGTGTGGAATGATTCCATCAAGCTGGTTGACATATCCACTACCTTAAATATTTACCTTTTATTTCCTCTCATTTAATTGAAACACCATACTCTTTAACTAACATCTCCCCACTCTCATTATTCTCCAGCCTCTGGTAACCACTCTCTTCTACTCTCTGTTTCTATGACTTCAACTTTTATAGATACCATATATGATTGAGATCATATGACATTTGTCTCTCTGCGCCTGGCTTATTTCACTTAGCAGACTGTCCTATAGGTTCATCTACATTGTTGCAAATGGCAGAATTTCCTTCTTTTTTAAGGCTGAAGTCCATTGTGTGTGCATACCACATTTTCTTTGTCTCTTCATCTATTGATGGACACTTAGATTGATTCCATATCTTGGCTATTGTGAATAGTGCTGCAATAAACATGGAAGTGCAGATATCTCTTCAACATACAGATTTGACT